GGTAGTGCCTGGGGCAGGGAGGAATGACAGCAACTTCCTCCCATCCTCTGTGGCCACTCCTCTTGCTTTGGTGTCACGTGCCCTAGCTCTGGCCTTTTTTTTTGACTGGTTTCTTGTTTGCTGGCTCTGCTGTATATGTAGGTCTGCAAAGCGCTTTTTGCAAAGCAGTCATGCTAAGGGCAGGCCAGCTGTGCAAGCCAGGAGGCAAACTGGGTCCATTTTTGTCAGGGCTTGGCAGAGCATTCCTGAAGGAAGCTGTTGCTGTTCTCACATTGCTGTGTCCTCAGAGACCACTTATCTCACCCGCCTGCAGCGTGCAGGGCATGCAGCTCATGGCTAAAACCGGGCTACGTGAGATGGGGCTGCAGCTAGGTGTGATCAGAGCTGTTTCTGTGGGTGCTGTTCTGGGCAGTTGTGACCTGCAGCGACGTTGAGCCCCATGGGCTCCCTCTCTTGCAGCAAGCGCTGGCACAGCACCCAGCCTCACCAGCCAGCTCACCCTGGGGACAGCTGTCCACAGCTGGAGTGCACATTGACACCTCCCTGGGGAGGAGGGTTTACTGATGTGGATGCATGGATAGAGATTTAATAGTATGGGTACAGGTATTACGTGCTGTCTGGGGCCAGAGGACAGCCCCAGGCATGTTTAATTGACTGATCAGGTAGTGGCCTCTTTGGAATTCATGGAGACTTAATTCCTGTTTTGTTGATAGTATAGTATTACAAATTGGGCCATTTTGAAAGAAGAATCTTTCTTAAACCAAGTGGAATAGTATGTGACTGTGCTACCAGACCCAAGAGATTTTTCATTCTCTCTGGAAGCTTAATGTTACCAGCTTCCCTGCCAAGGAGAAAGATGGGCACTTGCCAAGATACACAACCAGTCCTTTTGTTGTTTCAAAGCCAATTTTCTTTGAAAGGCTTTTTTTTCTGTTGTTTGCAGTAAGAAACCACAGGTACTGAACCAGAGTATGTCCACACACTACAGACGGAGGTTAAGTATTACTAAGACTAAAGAAATAATTGGTTAATCCTTAACACAGCTATTGGGAAGCAACCTGAGAAAAAATAATGGAGTGCTTCATCTATAGAGCAAGAAATTATTTGTCTTTATCCAGAAAATTCAGGTCCACGTTGCTTGTTTGACATGTTATTAAGAAAATGAGTGAGAGATGACATGTATCAATCATGTATAAGCATGTGATCCCATCTGGCCCTCAGGAGTTAAACGAGAGATTTCTTATGACAAAATGTCAATCTAACATGAACAGTCCAGTGAGTGCTCACATCCAGTAGCTGGATCAACTGTCCTGATCTCAGTGATGTTTCCCAAGTTTACAAAGAGAGATAAAGAAACCATTTGTTTTTCAAAAAATAGGCTATCTCAGCCCAAAAGCAACCAGCAAGAGCACTGTCTAGAGCACAATTTGTATCAAAGCAAAGGAAACGGTTTGGAAGAGGTCATGCAAGTGCACAAAGAGAACTGGTAAGTGCACAGCAGCTAGGATGGAATCTGATTCACTTTGGATTCAAAATCCTAAAAATCTACATGGATCTGGTGTCTGAACTCTACAGCCGGTGCTGGTGAACTTGTCTTTGCGGTCCCCGAAGGTTTTCAGTCAGCTGGCATCTTCCTTTCAACCAAGTACAGCACCTGGGCTGGAGGCAGGTGCTACTGCTTTGTCTTGTCTCCAGGAGGACAGACTAGGATGATGGAAAGATGCTGTCATGAGCATTCTTCTGTTCAGGGTTGTCATCTCATGACTAATCTGACTCTTACGAGGTTATTGTAATCTCCAGCTTGCCCCTAGACTAGATGGTCCTGCTCTGGCAGGGAGGTTGGACTTGATGATCTCTGGAGGTCCCTTCCAGCCCCTAACATTCTGTGATTCTGACCTCCAAGTCTATGGTAATCTATTCAAGGAAACCTAGGGAAGCTTTTCTCCAGAATGAACAGTCTTTACTGAGAGGACTCACTAGTGACTGAATGACATGGCTCTGATGAGAGGTGACTGTACAGGATAAAACTTGGAAACAAAATTTTGTATTGGTCCCACCCCTTGTACTCAGATGTCAGCAAGTGCAGGAAGTGCACACTGCTGCTGGCCACAGGACCTGTCATTTATGAAGAATCTTTCTTGTTAATCTTTTTTGGGGAAAAGTTTGTCTTTTTAAAACATTAAATTATAAGCTGGCACGAGGCTATACAGTACATCTGAGAAATGTCTTCATGTTAATTTAGTGCAATTTCTTCTGCTTGCCGAGGTGTTGAAACAAACCTCTTCCGGTGCCGTCTCCCGTGTACGAGACGCCCAGCAGGAGGGCAGGTGTAACCTCCTGCCGAGGGCTACATCCTCACCTCTTTCCCGAGGCTCCTGGGAAGATGGGCGCCCCTGCTCTGTCCTGGCTGGGGTGTGAGGGTGCAGCAAGTGCTGAGAAGGACCCGTCGCATCAGCGCCGCTGACCGGTCTCGCCCACTCTTCAGAGGCACCGAGAGGAGGTGGCAGCAGCACAGCACAACCAGCTGTGGGGGTGAGTGACCCACAGCCAGAGCCAGACTGGCAAAGACCACCCCCCGTCCACTCTCAGCTGAGACTTCAGCTGCTCCAAGGCTTTACCGCGTTACTTGTTTTGACAGTATCAATGAAATGCATTTGTCAGACACAGAGACTCCAAATCCTCCTGCTGTCACCAGAGTTCTTATTTCCGTTTACCTTCTGAATTCATTCAAATTCAAGTTCTCAGGGCTCTCTGTAAAGAAGCAAAAAGCTCTTTCAGTCTTCCACAGCTGGGAGACAGGTTTCTATTTTAACCAGGGAGTCTCGATCTCAGAAGGCTGTAGTGATACATGGTAAAGAGCATCTTCATCCACTGTGGATGAGCCAGACCACAATGTGTTAACCTTGTTAGGTGCCAAAGAATGTAAGTTTGTGCAGGTTCAGCACTGGAACTATGGTAGGTGCTGCTTCTTCTAACATGGACATTTTATATGGTAGAAGCTCTTAAATTACTTGTGAAACTGTTCTTTAAAAAAGCCAGGTTGAAAACTGTCATTCTCTCTTTTGAATAGTACATATAATGCTCTTGTCATACTAGAGTGAAATGTACTTGGATATTTAAATCTGGTAACAAGAGCTACTTCACTTTGGTTGAATTGTCATATTTTGGGTCATTTCACTGTAATAAAAATGATATTTTCAATCCAGAAATGAAAACGAGATTTCCCACTAGTAGCAAGTAACAGCATCCTTTACTGATTACTTTAAAATAAGGACAAGGTATTTCAACTGTTCACAAATATTTGTGACATATTACAAAGTATCTAAGAGAAAGAGATCATGGTCACATTTGAAGCAAAACACTTTTAAAATGTTTGCGAATGCAATGTTTGTTTTTTTTGTTTCCTTTGCAAAATGTTTGTTGATACAGTTTTGCAGGAGACTTATCTGTTTGGTCAAATAACCTTCTGCTATAGATACAGTGCTTTGTCCTAGGGGACAAACTGCAAAATATTTTCAAAACAGGACTTTGTCAGAAACAGAGGTTTGAAATACAGCCTCTACTAGCCCAGCAATTTTTTCTCTCTGGATGTTGTGCAAGACTTAATATGACTTGGTTTATAACATGATAGGAATCTGACATTTCTTTTACATTGTATTTAAGTATTTAAAAGATCTGAGACTTAATTTCTTCCATATATACATTTTTTTAGATCTAAGGCTGCACCACTAACAACATTTTATCCATCTTCTGTCATTGGTTTTAAATGTTACAAATACTTCATCAAATTTAGAACTGTTAGCAGCAATGACAATGATGTTCCTCATTTAAAAAAATCCCAAACCAAACAGAAGAATTCCCTGGGCAACTGCACAGCACATGCACTATACTAAAAACTAGCTTGAGAGTTCTGATAAATATTGAGTTCCAGCTAGAGCTAATAGTTGTTCTAGTTGTAAAGAATAGAATGTTTGTCATATACACAAGGGTTGGATGGAAGAGGAACACTGGACAAGGCATTTCATGGTCCGAGTTGTTGATAGAGCATCAGGCCTTAGCATAGACTTGTGGCACCTGTGGGAAGGGAACGTTCCTGGTAGTGTCAACGGGCTCAGTCTGACGAGATCCACATTGTCCTCTTCAGGCTGCTCGGTCCTTCAGCTGAACCAGGAGTTCCTTGCAGGATGGAGAGCCCTCCAGGGCTCGCTCCTGAGCAAAATGCAGGGTTGTACAGAAGCCAGCTTACATCAGAGGAGGGTTTGGTCTTCTGCCACCGGTGTATTACAACAGGACCAACCCCACCAGCATTTCTCAATGAGCACCATTAACTGACTTTGGTAACGGGTCTGCTGGCACGACCAGCGGGATGGAAGAGTGCACTGAGCTCCTGTCAGGTACAAGAAGGAAGCAGAGCTGCCAATTACCTTGCAACTAGAGTCTGCAAATATTTAAAAACATAAATATGTTACTACCCATACACATATACACAAAAGGCAGCAGTAGCAATGTTACAGGATGCAGCACCTACCCTATAGAACTGCTTTTTGTTAATACAGATGCAACACCAAAATCAATGCCATTTAACATGAAGCAAACCCTTCTTCAAAGGTCAATGGCAGTGAGCCAAAGTTCAGGTCCAGGCTTCTGCTAATCTGAGGTGACTCTGAAGGTCATCAGTCCCACTGCGTATCAAATCTAATCAATGATAGAGCAGCACTACGGGAAGATGATGATTATCAGTTAAAACTCTTGCCACCATTTCTAATTCTCCCTTTTTCACAAGTGCTCTTTGTGTGAGCACCCACCAGGCTTAGTGGGGGATAAAGTTGTTACGGTATTCTCCATGTTTTTAAGTGAATTTTCAGTTGAGATGGCACTTAGCAGCCCACTAAGAAGTTGCCACTCCAACTTCTCTTTTGTGCAGTTCTGTTTCAAAGGTTGGCAGGAATAGCACGAGAAGGGCTAGAGGAGAGGAGATGACTCCTGGTCCATTGTGTTTGCTAATGCTCTTCAGAGCAGCGTCCTCTTCTCAAGATGACATCATCTAGTCCAATATCCCCAGTTCTTCCTTTCCCTTTCTCCCCTCTGAAAATAACCTGGGAAGAGAAATGAAACTACTTGAGTGCAAAAATAAAGTAAAATGAAAGAAGTTTTGGTTGGCAGCCATCTCAACAGTAAGAAAGCAAAAGCATAAGAAAGCTCAGGCAATTGTTCCTGATTCACTAAAGCCTATTTATTCTGCTCAGAGCTCTGGCTGTTTTTCTATTTCTGATGTTCTCTCTTCTTCACTTTGTCAGGATCTTTGTGAAGAATCAGCAGTTCAGGCCAGAATTGCTCCAGTTGCACCATTTGCTGAGGTGAGATGAACTTCCATGTAAAAGAATCTTGGGTGCTTTCTACATATCATCTCTGTACTGTTTTTATTGTCCCTCATGAGAAACACAAAATATTCTGAAAAATGTTTTCTAATAGAAGAGCTTTCTATTGCTAAAGCACTTTGCAGCTGCCTTAGTTATGGGAACCAGAAATGTCCATCTTTTACTTAACAAATTCTGGCTCCTGCAGACTCATGGTAATCTACAGAAGCTCCTCCCAAAATGGTGGTGGAAGTCTGGGTATGGACTTATGCAGAGAATTCATTAGCAGTCCAGATTTTGCCTGAGTCAGAGAAATTCAACAAATATAAAGCTTGTGTAGAAGTACTGGAGCATAAATCAGAGATGATACGCAGAATGACCAGCTGACTTCAAAAACATATCCCATTAATCAGTATTGCTCACCTGAGCTACTGCTGTAGATTCAGAAGCCTGAACTGTTTAATACAGCCAGTGTCTTGGCCATTGCTTAAAAATTACACAAAGCCTACAGCAAAACTTTCCAAGAGTGCTGCTATCACTGAGCTGGGAAGAGTTAACACAGATTCACAGAACAGAAACTGAGCTGTGCAGTCAAAACTAAATTGGATGCTTGTTGAAAGCACACTTTTAAATCAGGAGTAGGAACAGAGGAGGTCAGGGGAACACTGTGTTGAATGTACAGAATTATTTTTCTAGAAATGAGTAGTTTTGAGTGAACTTTAGAAATAAAGAAAGCCCTAACAGCACATGCACAGGTCCTTACGCTCGTGAGGCCGAGTCCTTGTACAGTTATGTGTGTCTGCCTCCAGCCATGGCCACCGTTTCTCCCCCAGAGGGCTGGTCCGTGGGCACCGTTTCTCCTCACGAAGACCTGGAGGGCGCCCGCGTGCAGCCCCGGCACCTTGTGTCTGAACGACAGGCACAAGTCGCCGGCCTCAGCCACGGCGCCCAGGGGCAGGATAAGGTGTGCTACTCCTCCTCCTTTGCCCTTGGGCTCAGAGATGGTAAGATACTGGCCCCCTGAAAAAGAAAAAAAGCTTAGTCAGGGATTTTTTTTTTTTTTAATTCTATTATATTGCAGGACCAAATGCACAAGAGTCATTACCAAAATCAAAAAAGGGTTCCACAAGGTCCAGTGCATCTCAAGCAAGGCACATAGTTCTGGGACATGAACGAGGCCTGGTACATCTACCTCCTGCAGGGTGAGATTTACAGTGCTGGTTTTCTGTTTACATTAGTACCAGCTTAGGTCCTGCCCATCTAATTCCTTCTTTACAAAGCAAATAATACCTTATTTGAAAATGAAAATGTCATGTATCCCTTAATTTCTGACAGCACCCTGGTGACTGCATCATTTTAAACCCACAGTGGCATCAAAGCTACCCTGTACATTTCCACACCTCGTAAGATGCAGGTTTTTGCTGTTGGGTAGAAGAAGGAGAAGGCCACTGTGTGACCATGTAACGGAGCTACAGGTCTGTCCCCTTCCTGTTGTTTGGGAACTGTGTTAACAGGTAAGTCTCACAGCTTCCCCTTTTGCAAACACAAGCCTTTTTAGGTCACCATAATTTACACTCTGAATCTGATTAGATACAGAGAGCTGGAAACAGTAATGATTTCCAAATGGCTGAGAACTTGATACACTCACTGAAGTCTTCTCTAGCAGCAGCAAGTTGTCAGTGAACATACAGACTTAACTCAAAACCCTGTCTCTGATCACGTATGAAGTAAAGGTGCCTTCATAAAAACTGGAACATGAAAAGCAGAGGACCTCAGGTATGGCAACATCCATTAAACCTTTCAAAAAAAACCACACAGAGGCATATACTTGCCTAAGTCCCACACACCCTTCCACACAGGCACTCAAAATTACAATAAATGAGACTCTACACCTTGGAGAAAATCCACACCTGTATTTTTGTCGTACTTTTCATTGAAAACTTTGCAAGGTAGATAATAACCTTAAAATTTGAAATTGCCAAAAGAGGATTTGCTTTTAAAAAATAATTAAAAAAAAATTCTTATTTGAAATCTAAGAATCCTTGTTTGGTTTTTTTTCATTAGATCAGATTTTTTGTATCTTTTTAAATCAATAAATCCAAGTTGAATTAAGCCTGGTGAGTGCTCACACAAAGAGCACTTCTTGTGAAAAAGGGAGAATTAAGGTCTTAATGAACTTCAGGTAAAGGTGGTATTTAGGCTCCTCAGTTGAAACCAGTGACATAGAAATACTGGGGTTTGTAATGTTGTTGACATGCACAGTCTTTACTCAATTATAGAACAGAAAAATATTTTTCATTTAAATTGTCACGCTGCTACTACTCAACCAGAGATTTATGTTTTGAAGTCTTCTTTTGGAAAGCCACAATGATATTCCTCAAAAGCTGTGGGATTTAATGACAGCATACCAGGGCTTGTCACACACTTAAGCAACAGCCACCTGCACCTCCAAATCTCTCCTTCTACTTAGGGGTTTAATTTCTTTGGTCTCAGTGCAACTTAACAAAGCAAAGCACTATGCTGGCGTCTGGGGCCTCACACCTGCATTTGAGCATGAAGTGGGATCCATTTGACCAAGGATCTGTTAAAAGATTTTTGTTTGGGATTTGTTTTTCTTTCGTTTGTTTTTTTAATGCATTGGTTTTGCATCAAGGTCACTAACTGCTAAAATAAGTGTAACAGAGTTTAAATAACTGCACCTGTTTGTTGCAGATACAATTATATCACTATAAAAGTACTGGCTTGACTCATTAACTGCATCTGTTCCAGATCATTATAGTGACCTAACCAAATCAATAGGAAACAGATTTAGGTAAGCACAAAGCCAGCGTAGCTGCAGGCAAGCCCCTGCAGGAAGAGGTCCCCTCAAATCAGTGTTTTCTGCATGCAAGATAAGCTTATAAGGCTTCAGCGTGGCACCTTTCAAAATGCAGATTCTGATAAACCAATAAAGAGCCAACTCTGAAAGGTGAAAGCAAACACTCAGGAACAAGCTGTGAAAATAAATCCTTGCAACAAGGTGTTCCAGACAGGAGGGAGTGGGTGGGTGACTTCAAGGGACTAGTTTTAACAGGTTATGTCAACAGCAGCAGAACGAACACAGGAAACAAAGAACTGAGATTGTCCTTGACTGGGAAGCAACACAAGACAAAAAGAAAACAACAACAAAAAAGTGTTTTTTGTTTAAAAAGCCAGTTAAAAAACATAGTTCTGGAACTTAGTAAGTATTAGCAATAATTTTTGTGTACAGGTAGACTCACTTTCTCAGGAACAAAGTGGCTTAAAATCCATTGTTTCAAAAAGATGTTTGAATTAGGTGTGATCTTTTTTAGAATGCCAGTCTGCAAGCAGAAGACAGCCACCTGTCTTCTCATCTGCAGGAGGAAGGAGCTCTGCTCTCCGAGTCATTCATCAGACTTTCAAAGTGTGGCAAGGAGCACATGAAATACTAGAGCCAGGCTATGGGTGGGACAGGGGCCTGCCCAGTAGGGGAAGACAGCACTTCCACTTGGCCAGCTAAACATCCTGAAAAAGGTGCCAGGTCACCTGCTGTGGTGGCAGATGTCTGTCTCACCAGCCCTTCAAGATCACCTAGTTCAGCCCCCCTGCCATGGGCAGGGACACCTCCCAATAGATCAGGTTTCCCAGAGCCCCATTCAGCATGGCCTTGAACACTTCCAGGGATGGGACATTCACAGCTGCTCTGGGCAACCTGCTCCAGTGTCTTACTGCTCTCTCACTGTAAAAAACTTCCTCCTTGTGTCCAATCCAAACCTCTTTCAGTTTAAAGCCATCACCCCTTGTCTTAGCCCTACATGCCTTTGTAAAACGTCCATCTCCATCTTTCCTGTAGGCCCCCTTTAGGTACTGGAGCACCTAACTTGTCTTCCTTCCAGTTACCCAACAGTTGTCCTATACACAGGTTGCTGTAACTTGGAGTAATATTCAACAGAATCAAACTGAGAGGTTACACTAGAACGTTGCATTTGGCAGCAGAACAAAGACCATTTCCAACACTTTCTACAACTTTGCTAGTAATATGGAAATAATTATGTTTGCGTGGTGGGTTAAAAAATAACCTTTGTTTCACCATAAATAAAAGTCGTTCTCTAGTCGCATTTTCGTTCTGATTCTTTTAAGACAGATAGTCTTTTACCAACTACATTTATACTCCTTCAGAGACATTCCTATAGTAAAGATATCAGCCACAATGAAAGCATGAATTCTCAACTGCTCTTTGATGTTGGGAATCCTCAGTTTTGATTGTTATACACAGAAGAGGTGTGGGTGTGAAATATATCCCAGAACTAAAGGGAAGAGAGGATGTGTAAATTCATCATAATGGGAGAATTGTCATCAGCCTCCAGCCCGGGTGGTTTTTCAACTACAGGGTGTGACCATACACAGGTCTCTTACCTGATGCATCTCTCACTGCTTCCCACTGCAAGGCATCATCCTTGTCCGTGATCCATCCGCACAGTCCACTGTCAAAATTACAGCTGTGTACCAGCACACCTAGGCACAACACAGCAGAAGGCAAATAAGAAATCCAAGTTATTGGATTGTTTTGGTTGAGGAGCTATAGCGACTTCCTTTGTGGCTGACACTAGCAAGTAAATATGAAAAAGAAAGGCAGCAGAAGGAGCTAAAAAAAGAATGTACAAAAATACAAGAACAATAAAAAGGATACTAGCGTTATTATTAATGCTTCACACTATTGTTGTGCTGAATCTGTTCAGAAATAAAACTATAAAGGTTCACTTAGGTAGAGTGTTTTCTTCTTTTACAAAGCACAGTTTAAACAAGGGGCATAATATGTAGGAGTCATGTAAAAATGTACAAAACCCCAAGAAATCTCAAAAAATCCTATACCCCAGGCCCTGAACAGGAGGCATGATCTTTACCTGGGTCATCGTTTGCTTCAAATTCATCAGCAGTAATCCCTCTTTCAATTTCAAGTATTTCAAACAGATTATTGCTCACTCCAGGCTGGCGTGGAACTGTGAGAAAAGCAGTTTTTCAGAAATGAGTGAGATAAAGGTAGTTAGTGACCTACTTCTTTATCTTTAATAAAAACCGGCAGAGCAGCTCTGGGGCATTGTGCTTTTCTTGGAGAATTCAATATATTTAGCTATATTTGACATGAAGAGTCAAACTTTATGCCTATGTGATTTATGATTTATGTTGTACCATTTATCTGAACACTGTAAAAGATGATTCCAAATCTGCTAAGGGCTCTTCAAATGAAAGTTTCTTTTTAACTAGGGACGAAAAAAAAAGGCAGCTTTAACCTTGAAGCACAAAATTCCCCTCCAAATGCACTTTTGAAGACAGTGGTTTCTCAATAAAATAGTCACATTAAAGCTTTTGCTCAAACTTTCTGATGCACTCACCTTCCACAGATGTTTATAGGAGACTCTTCACAGGAGGCAGCAGTACTTTGGAAGAAGCCCTACAGGCACCTAACCTTCAAATCACAGCTGAAGGTACACCCATCTCTCTGCGGAGCATTAGAGCTCCCTACACAACTACCAGGACTGTACTGAGAGCTGAGGAGGAGCAGCTCCAGTGGAAGCTGGAGTTCACCTCTAATTGTATTTTCTGCTCTCCAACACGGTCTGTCTCTTAGCTGCAAGGGGAAGGAACGCTCACAGGGACTAATGGGCCCACAGGTTATGAGACATTCAACAGCCAGGACAACCTGAAATTTAAGAGGTCTTTGTGGGAACGATGGCTGCCAAAGTCAGGTGGCTACAAAAACTTCCACTCACTTCCCAAGACACCGTGTCAGTCTGTGTAAGTCTCCAGAAATAACACACTGATGTCACACTTGATGGACAGCTGTCAGCTACAGATAAACAGATTGCACTTGATAGAGCTGTCCTGGAAATTCCTCTTTTAGAGGCAGGTCTAGCCTGTAATTAGTAACAACAGTAACATGTTTCAGACATGTTTTTAGATGTTGCACACACCTCCGACACCTACAGTATTTGTAACGGCCATTAAAAACTTGACACAATTTCCATTTGCAGTGCTAAAATAAGGATCTTAATGTCTCTGCAGCTTCTTAGGCAGGTGAGAACACGAAGAATTGAGATGACTTACAATTCCAAACTGAAATAAAGGACTCCTGGCTTTATGAAATTAAACCAAAGGTAAGAAGGAACTTCTTTTGCACTAGGACAAGCAGTAAATAGTATAGCTGCAAGAGCTCCTCTAAAGCCAGAAGACGAGAGGAAAAACAAGACTGAAGTAGCTTCCTGCTTTGTGAAATTAGGATAAAATAAGCAACCTGATAAAAAGCCAATCAAATGCTAATGTATTGTAAAAGTAATAATACAGACTACAGATCTTGGATGAAAATTTTGTATAATAAAAATAAATAAAAATTGTAGGAAACTGATTAAATCTTTAATATTATAGTCATTATTTTAGTCATTACGTCTCCTTTTCTCTTTTTATTTTTTTTTTTAATCCTTTATAGATTTTGGATTATATCGGTTCATCATCTAGGATATTAATGCTCAAACATCCTCAATACATTTATGGACAAATAGTATATTCAATTATAAAAAGAAAAAAATCATTTACTATGGGCAGCAAAAACTCCTAACATGAATGCTCTAAAACGATCGTTTCACCCTTAATTGCGGCCAGCAGTATACTGCTCTTTTGCAAGAGCTGTACCTAAAACATAGGCAGAACAGTTGAACAAGCACATCTTACAGCTCTAGTTGTCACACCTGCAGAGAGGAGCTGGAGCAGGCCCTAAGAAGGGCAATGAAGCTGGTGAGGGGTCTGGGGAACATGGCTTGGGAGGAGTGGCTGAGGGACCTGGGGGTGTTTAGTCTGGAGAAGAGGAGGCTGAGAGGAGACCTTATTGCGCTCTAGAACTCCCTGCAAGGAGGTTGGAGTGAGGTGGGTTTGGATCTCTCCTCCCAAGAATCTTGCAATAGGATAAGAAGAAATGAGCTTAAGTTGTGCTGGGGGAGGTTTAGACTGGATATCAGGAAGAATTTATTTCCTGACAGAGTGGTGAGGCACTGGAACAGGCTGGCCAGGGAGGGCACCGTCCCTGGAGGTGTTCAAAAAACACGTGGGCATGGTACTTTGGGACATGGTTTAGTGCTCATGGTAGTGTTGGGTTGATGTCTGAACTTGATCCTGGAGGTCTTTTCCAGCCTTAATGATTCTATGACTCTGTGAGGTGCTTACAGCAGCATAAGCTGTTCTGACACGTAGCAGCACACACAGTCACACTGCCCTAACTGCACGACAGTCACGGACAGCCATGAGCCACGAGCAGATGTGTGTGAGCTGCCCGCGTGGGCCGAGGCCACCACCGCTGCGGCACGCATGGCGGCTGTCCGCAGCGTTCACATTCAGCTGCAGTGGTTTGCTCAGGGATTTTCAAAACTGGCAGTTCAATTTCTTGGGCTTACTGTAGCCAGCCAGCTGGGCCAGCCCATGTTGCAGGAGGAATTACTTACCAAG